ATTAAGCATATTTACAGTATAATCCATTGCTAATCGACATAGCCTTTTTTACAATAAATAAAACGCACAGAAATTATTTAAACGCAAAACCAAAAAAACACAATTCACAAGCATGTATTGAACCGTGGATGTTGTACCGAAAAGTTCAATATTATATTGAGGATTGTGGCATCCCTAATGTATCACCAGCAGGAGTTATGTTGTTGTAGTTGTTGTTGTTGTTTTCTGATTTAACTGTAACTGATACAGTGGGAGCAAAAAGCAAATGGGAGGTGAAGAGCACATCAAAGCAACCACAGCAAACACAAAATATAACAAGTTATAACAAATTCTAGTGGGCTGTCACTTAATTATTACACACAACAGCATGTAAACTCATGCTGAACAATTGGAAAAAGCTTTGTCTGTATTAGTTTCATCAAGTGGTTGGTACTAAATTGGCCATGACAGAAAGCTTAAATGATGCCTGTGTGTTCAGTAGAATTATGATAGCTTAGTTACAGACTCCAAATACAGAACCTGAACCCACGAGAACAATCTCTCAGTTTCCAGACAGTAAACTAAACCCGCTATTAAAGCTGCTCCAGTTTCCCAGCCGCTGACAGCTGTAGTGGAGAAGATGGTGTGTGACATGGTGAAGCAGGGGTCTGGTTGTGACCCGTACATGTGGATCAGATGTTCTAGGGGTCAGGTAGAAGAGAGGCCAGCCTTTACCCTACTCCTACCCTGCCCATCATCAATGATTAATGATCCCTGAAACAAGACACCTCATTGAGCTTTGGGACTTATTAATTATGGAGTCGGGAGCATTCATTTGCCTCGCTCAGATCGCTGATTCCCAGATGCATCTTCCATACATTACAGCAGGCCTGTTTACCAAACGATCCTAGTCATTTTTATAGAGTCTGCATGTTAGAGTGGTGATTCTGCCACTGTAGCTCAATAGAACAGTGCTGTCGGAGATGGAGAAAGATCTAGCTGTAAATTTAATGCCACCTCAAGCTTATGCTGTGAAATATGGAGACCTAGACGAGTGTCGTGCAGCCTTCTGTCTCTATACAATCTCCAGATGTGTAGAAGACTGCTGGAGATGTATGGCTTCATTAAACAGAGTGACTGTGCAGAAGTGGATCTTGGGGACAAACAGAGTGCTAAAGCGGTTCAATGCCAAACCTCCCAAGCATCCTGCCAAGTCTCCATGATATTTCAGGCCCTGTTAGCCGCATTCAAACCTTATTACAAATCCTCACTGGGATAAAAGTCTTCCTACAACAGGAAATGTAAAAAAAAATTTAAATATAAAAAATAAGCAAACATCGTAATTAGACGAACCATGGCTGAAATTCCTTGTAAAAGAGCTAAGAATGCATCACAAACTATATTGGTTGGGTATTGATTTTCAGCTTGAATTTCAGCTTAAAGGGATAGTTCACCTAAACAATTCTGTCATAAAATGCACCAAGTCTGTATTTATTTGATCAGAAATACAGTAATATTGTGAAATATTACTGCAATTAAAAAAAAATATATATATATATTTTAATGTTTATAAAGGCTTTACTGTAACTTTTGACCAATGCATCCAGGATGAATAAATGTTTTAATTTCTAAAAAAAATAATCTTCCCCCAAACTTGAACAGCTGAGTATACAGTATATATATTGGGGGGTGAACTATCACTTTAAATTATCACTGGTTCAGAAGATAGTCAAGGAAACATGCAGAAGGCAACTGAAACTCTATAACCACTGTAAAGGTGACTCCACAGGCCTGAGTATTATCTTTCCACCACTGAGAAGATGCTGGCTTTAGTGATGCGTGAAACAAAATCATCAATAAATTACATCTCCCGGCAGCTGAGGTCCAACACAGCCTAGTGTTTCTCATGAAGCGTGGGAATTGTCCTCTTGAGCTTTCACACAAAAACACACACACTTGCACGCACGCACACACACACACACACACACACACACACACACACACACACACACACACACACACACAC